CGTCCAAGGCGATGTCAGTTTTGTCATCTCCCCCAACGATTCCTTCAAACCCAACCCTGAAAGATGATCCCAAGTTAAGCTGAACCTCAGCACGGAGCCACGCACGGTTGCTTGGATCACCTGCAAACAAAACAAAAACAATGTTTTACTTTTGCTGATAATTTTGACCACACCTTATCATTGGAAGATGTAACAAAGAGGGAAAGGTTTTAGGGTGAGGACGTTTTTTTTACACGCGAACTATAACGTTGAAGGCCCTCTAACTTTCGCGTCTTCCCTCACCACTGCCCCCAGATCAGAATTCACCAAACTCGGCCAATCATACATGTCCATTAAGACAAAAATAGGACTTTTAATTGGAACTTTATTATCTACGTGTTTGAAACCGCCGCCCGGTTAGCTAAGTAGGTAGAGTGCCAGTCTATAGTGCGAGCGAGAGGACGTGAGTTTAAAACCCGACTGGACCACTGATAACAAAACTGATGAGATTACGCTAGCTGTGATACAGTAAAACCCCGCGTATAAGAACCTGAGTGGGTTTTAAGAACCTGTTAGGCTAAAATTTTTACTTCAAGCCCTCTACACATAAGAACCTATTAAGGATAAAATTTGAAGTTAGGTTCTAATCAGTGGAGTTGCTGTAAAAGTGTATCAACTTTGAAATGGCATTTCAGAGAACTGAATATGAATTTGTTTGTCATGTTTTGTTAAGGACATACCTGCACTGAAGTGCCTTTAGGCATTATGGTACAAATGATTTATATTGTATTATGAGATGATATTTATAATATACTTAAATGAAATTCCAATGAAAATATAAGAACCTTGGTAGTCTAAATTTGCTTTAAGTACCATTTATATAAGAACCTGTTAAGGCTAAATTGAAAAATCCAGGTTCTTATACGCGGGGTTTTACTGTAAAATACTTTCACAGCTCAGATGAACGCGTCATTGGGAGGTAACATTTAAGCCGCTGGCCTTGTCTCCTTCATACATAAACATCAGTTGGAAAGAAAACGTAAAAGGGCCCGTGACACTGTTCGAAAAGAGTAGGGAACACAACCCCAGTGTCATGGTCCATCTAAATGGAGCTGTTATTGGTCGGGGAGCAAGTGGGTAAGGTGAGACCAAACATCGACTGAAGCCGCTGGACAGTGGGCCTTTACATGCTGATGTCCGATCTCACCTCTTTGCCACCCTCGGTAAGTCAGCCACCGGCGGCAAGAGACGGAAAAATGGTACCATTTACATTTCCAATGTATATAATGTCCAAAAAATATATACCTCGTGTCTTCCAAACTTCGTTCCAGCGGCTATAACCCGATGTCAGCAGGAACACCTTCAAATAACCCATGTTCTTTGAGCCGTACATGTTGTAGTAGAACCTTAGTGTGCACACTCCTCGGCCAGCAGGAAACAGATTGGTATGGTACAGTCGTGCCCTGTCGAAAAGTTGTCTGGGTTTTGATGAATCAATGGTTAAGAAGTAACTTGATCCAGTCGTGTGATCTCCAGTAGGTCCTTGTAAAAAAAGAAAAAAAGTTGAAAAAATAAGCCATTCTGAACTTAAGCGCTAACACGTACAGTGTGATATTTCCCCAGGAAAGTAATGGATGGATAAGACCACTGAAATACCATATGAATAAATACTCAGCGCCGCCTTAGTCATGACATGCTTGCCCCGTACGTCAGTTTTTCAAAATTCCCTTAACAATGTAATGGAAAATCACTTGTCCGACCGTGAAAAGTTTATAACTCATAACTCTATATTTTTCTGACAATTCCTTGACCTTTGTTTAATTACATACCTGTTCCGGTCGTTCCGATGGCATTAGCACGTAACCAGTTGAAATCATCTCTCCAGAAATTATACCATCCACACCAGTTGACAGTGAAGTTGCAACTCGCTGTTCGACTGGAACATAGGCTTAGATCTTCATCTGTACCATCGTTACAGTCATTGACGAGGTCACAAACTCTTTGTTCTGTCACACAATGTCCACTGCTTCGGCACTTGACCTATTGGAGAATGCACATAAAGCCATACGTTATTGACCAAGCTTGTTCAGTCAAGATGGCAGGATATTAGCCAAGTTCATTTTTTTACTGTTTTTTTTTAATTGACCAAAACGAAGTTCAGGTCTATTTTTCTAGCGACAGAGAACATTCGGTTGTCGTTAAGAAAATAATAAGAGCGTGTTCAAGATTTTAATAGCGTAATTTTCCAGTAAACACCAATTACATATCGGATCCTTTTAAGGCTAACTCGGAAAAAAAAATGGAGGTTCTTACAAAGCGGGTTCATATTGTAAAGGGATCAATTTAATAAAACTTGCTCAAGTGTAATCTACGAGTGTGTCTATTGTTTTAGCTAAAAACAATAGCTTCACTTGTAAAAGTTTGACCCCTGGATAAAGAATTAATAACCGATAGTTTCAGCATCCACTGCTTTGTTACGTACAACCTTAGTCGGCAAGAAGTACAAACTTTTTTTTTTAAGTTAGTTTGCTTTTTTGGGAATCAAACAAAACCGATAGTGGTTGAGATGTACATGGCTCGTATTTCTGTTTGAAAACTGCAACATTAGTACTGTGCAACTCTCAAGTACATCAGTCACAGGTAAGTCTGACCCTAAGTTATAATGATTTAAAAGTACACACCTCATTCTGCGTACAGTTCCTGCTGACATCTGAAAAACATTTGCTAAAGGAGATGTCATCGATAGCAATATCGCCTTGCCAGTTTGCCCCACGAGTAGCTATGATAAGGATTACAAAGTTCTTATGTGCCCCAATGTTAACTGTGAGCTTTTTCCATCGGTTGCCCTGTGAAAAAGCGATATCAAATTGAAATTAGAAATAGCAACGCCAAAAGGTGACACCGCGTGTTTGCGTTTAAGGCAAAACAAACAAGCAACACTCACATTTACTAAATTTAGGAATGTTTGAAGGCTTTTTTCGGTGACAGCTTTAATTTTTCGATTTGATTAATTTGAGCCCTTTTCTGCGTTTACAACATGATTTATTAGAAAGACTAAATGCTTTATATCGGTTAAACTCACTAGAGAGGTTAGCTGTTGCCTACCTGAGAACCGTACAGTCCGGTATATTTGATTTCATAAGTTCCATCTGATTTCTTGATCTTGACTTGCAGACTTCCGACTCCAGATCCATACATATGGTACCAAAGCGACATCTGACAATTTGGACTAGAAGCGAAGTACCTGTAGGATGCGAGCTCCGCTTTGTCGCCGAGACTGCTGTATGATGTTTCGATGTACATGTAGTATCCCTGGAAGAGACAGCTGTTTTCAGAACTGAAACATTTGTCATTCAGAGCTGTTGCCTTACAAAGTGAACCTAAAGCGCCTTTTGGCTTTCATTCATCACCAACCGACGCAGAGATGAAGCTAGGGAGAATTGTTTGTCTTTCGTTCAATTTGACCAAAGAACGTTAAGGGTAGATTATTCTGGATTGTGCGAGGAAAGTTGTCGAATTATGCTAAGCGCAAGCTCTTGGCAATTACGAAAACAAGAAGAAAGCAAAATGTCAAAATTCAAACCAACAATCATGATCATGTCCAAGCTTTATGATTTGCGTCAACCTCCACATCATGGTCGGTTTTGTCATTACATAATGTATGAAACTCAAACACAAAGTTGCTAAAGCATTAACTGTTTTCTCTTTCTCGCTTTTTTTCAACTGCTTTAACCCTTAAGAGTGACCAACATAAATTTTCTCCTGACAATGCCAACAGACAATCCAGGGAAAAGATTATGAGAATTAATAAGATGATCACCAAAGGGAAGATACTTTGATCTTTTATCAAATTTTCCCAACTAATTCTGTAAGGAAATGTACTGAGTTCAGTCTGGAGAATAATGTAAGTGGATATTGGGGCTACTCACATTGGCTGTTCCCAAGGTGTGGTCAGTGGTGGGACCAGTTCCAACGCTGGGTGTTTTTCCCTTCTTTCGTCTCCAGTTAAAGTTATCTGTACCGGTGGACTGCCGCCAACCCTTGTAGCAGTCACCTTCAAACGTACAGTTTGTACCACAAGGAAGTTCATCAGAGTTATCGCCGCAATCGTTTTTGAAATTACAGATCTGTGCCTTGTCAACACACCGAAGGTTTTTACAGACATACTGCTGTAAACCGCAGGTTGTATTGGCGGGACGGGTGTGAAAGCCAAATGGAGTTGACGTTGGCTGACCTAAATAAACAAAATTAGACGCGGAATGACAAGTCTTTCCACATACAAAGTGTCCAGCAGTGTTTGATGTAACAAACTGTAGGTGCTTTACATTTGACTAAAGTGACGGACAAATTTTCTCAAGCGTTCATTTTCTTATCGGGGTGCAACGGCTTGGAACCAACTGTCAAATGAAACACGTGAGATGGGGGATCTTACTAGCTTTAAACTCGCCATATCTTAGGATATAACTTTTTATTATGTTTTTATCTTATTTGTTTAATACTCATTTCTTGCTGTTATATTGTATTGTTAGTTAATCACTAGTCTTAATTTTTATAAATTGTAATTATCACACGGCATGTCTGAAAACCAGCTTGCTGAGCCATTTACCGTGTTTAAATAAAGTTGATTGATTGACTGACATTTCGACACAGCAACGAAACCTACACTCCGCCCTCCCCCGACTCCCCAAAAACAAACAAACAAAACAACAACAAAAACCTAAAAACAAGTTGACAAGTTTGGAATAAGAACTACGAAACGAAACAAAAAAAAGCTGAACGACAAGGATTTTTTTTGGAAAATTGAGTGTACCATGCGAGAAAAAGAGACATTTTGCCGTATGAAAGCTCGCCAGTGCCAGACTCTCAGATAGTAGGGACGACGCGAAAATAAGACGGGCGCGATCATTTTTGCTGTGCTAATATCCTGGAGCCTTGAACAGGTTATGTGAGAGCACCTTTTAAAACATTCTAGGGACAGAAAATAAATCACCTGGCATAATGCAGTCAGTACAAATCTGGCAGCCTGGTGTCAAAGAGACATCATCAATGGCTATATCACCCTGATAACCATTTCCACGAACTCCTTCAATCACAAACTGAAAGTCTTGTTGACTGTATTGTATTTGCACTAAGGCACGGTACCAGAAATCGCCCTGAGCTCCTGTCACGTTCAACAGAGGACTTGATAAACCACCTGCGTAATAACTTGTCCGCTTGCGCACTAGAAGGCTGCCAATGTGATTTCCTTTCATGTGATAGTAGAATCTCAGGTAGCAGTTTGATGAGGTACTCTTCAAGATGGGGGAGTTCAAGCGTGCATTGTCACCAGGCCTACGCGGCCATGATGTCTCGATGTACATATAGTGACCTACGGAGTTAGAAACATAGCAATCAATAAGGTCAGGGCGCTGCGAATTTGTGTATCCCAAATGAAATAAATTTCATAATTGAGAACTATGTATTGCAAAGTTGGGGTTGCCCTCCATAAATAAGAATTGCAGTGTGAAGGATCTATGATACCAGGATATTGCTTTTTTTTTCATAAAAGTCATTACGCAGTGTCTTTATCCGTATTTATGAAGGAGATATCAAACAAATTTCAACAGGGAGCACTAAATGTCAATAAATGTCCACAATTGTCATCCGTAGCAACAGACGACGAGAAACAGTTGCAATGCCTAAATATAGCGTAACAAAATTAGAATTTATTTTTAAGCAATAGACCACACTTTCTATGGGTTTACCGGCGTGATAACCCACGCGGGATGTTGGGAGAACACTCGAAAAGCTTGTAAATCACTCGCCTTCGGCTCGTGAATTACAAGCTTTTCTCGTGTTCTCCCAACATCTCAAGTGGGTTATCACGCCGGTAAACCCATAGAAAGTGTGGTCTATTGCTTTTATAAAATAACTTTTAGTAGATTGGAGTCTTTTAGGTAAAAAAATATGCTTTTAGTACCGTGATCAAGTCATGTCTTCTCCGTAAAGTCATCATAAGCCAATCAAGACTCACGACTTAATAGCGCTGAACTTTCTCAAAACTCAGTTCAGTCAAACAACAAACAACAGCACTTCAAAGCACGAGTTTTTGCGCTCATTACATGATAACTTATGAAAGCTGTTTTACAGGAAAAGTCAACACATATTCATGCGAACGTACAATGAAAGAATACGTTCATGGTTTGTTTACTACAGAAGTAGAAATTAATTGAACATCAGACTGTACGCAGCTGTATTTTGCTGAGTCGATCCGTAAAAATTTCGTGCTTACAGACGGAACTGGCAGCTATTGTAATGGAGGACTTCATTCACTTTTAACAAGCCTCAGTGGTTTAAGATCTCTTTTCTGGACTTTATTATGATCAAGAAATGCTGCGGTAACGACATGGCTACATTTGCGAAGTTGTCGCATTAACTTTATATGCACTGACGGCGACCGACGGAAATATGTCAGTGTTGAAGAAAGGTTTCTTTGCCGTAGCCACATTGGCGCTAATATTTGTCGATTTGTGAAGTCAGGTGGTTTGAGGTAGGTTATGGCATCGATATTGCCGAATAATTTGTGCAAATGTTGGAAAAAACAAGCCCGAAACTCTGACATCTTTCATCATCGTTGGCAGCTTGTTTACAACCTACAGCGGCCGATTTTGTACCATATCTTGATCAGAGATCTCTTTTTGGAACAATGTCTTTCATTAACGAATTTAATTTTGACATAAAATAAATCAAGAATGCTAAAACTATCCGTTTTGTTGCTGGTTGGCACATGGTTAAGTTTTCCTAGAGACTTTCTACACCAGAAATTCACACAGTTGTTGTCTTTCTCTGTGATTTGGCATTGTCGTGAAATGTAAACTGCTCTCCAGCTTTGTACTTTATAACTTCTAAAGCTATGGCTTTCGCGAATTGTGACCCTCAGTAATAAAATGTGGAAACCAACGCTTTTAATATTAAGAAGGGCTACGGTAAGTAACTTGTTCTGTTTTTTAGCCTTTCTAAAATCGTTGTTTGCAGATCAATATAGCGGGTTTTGTTTATGGCTCGTGGTCCGGATGCCTTTTTCTATGGGTTTACCGGTATAATAAACCATAGGTTTTTGACCAATCAGATCACGCGTACTATCTCAGTTATTTTATAAAAAAAGATATCAAATAGTGTGAAGCCCCTGATATATAAATGAGATAGCTAATCGATTCTATCCACCGCTAGAATTTTAATCGCGTGATTAGCACGATAACATACACTCATGGAAGATCAGTATACCTTTCTCAGATTGGGTTGTATGATCTTTTGTGGGACCAGTACCATAGGAATAAGTTCCTGTGGTGGAGACAGTCCAGTCAAACTTGTCATCAGAACTTTGAGAGTACAGGCATGTTCCGTGTTCAAAATCACATCGTCCACTTTGATAAGCTGAGCAGGTTAATTCATCTGATGTGTCGCCCACCATGCAGTCTCCATTGTAATCACACAGAGACGTCTTGGGGATGCAGCCACCTTGTGCACATCTGGAAAAGGAAAGACGTTACTTTGGTTAGTAGCCTGAGACCGGGATCTGCATTGGGGGAAGAGGCGAAAAAGAAAAATCGGCAAGCGAAGCCAGCCGAGAAGTAGTCTGGGAAAGGGAAAGGGTGGCAGTTGTTTCCCTTTCTCCAGTCCACCGCACAGCTGGTTTACATTTAGGTGTATTCCATTCGAGGAAAGCTGACTTGTATGAAGCATACCTAATTAATACCCACGCCACAATGGACAATCCGAAAAGTTCAAGAAAGTTACTGTCCAATCCAGTGAATCAACAGAATCATACCATAGCTAATACAGGGTTCATACAAAAAAACTGCAACAATTTTATAAGGACTGTTCAAAGACCACATTAGATTTTCAAGGACCACCTACCAGGAATATAATTTCACAGATTGCACAAAAATAGACATTCCCAGTCTATTCTTATAAGGCTGTAAGGCGTGAACTGTTTGCTTCACCAACTTCTCTACATTTTTCAGTTCACTTGTCTTAAATTGAGAGTTAATTATAAATTTAGTGTATAAAACATTTGTAAATAACCTTTAAATTATCTGATTTATGATTCATATTCTGTCTTGGACAACCAAAAATCATCAAAAAACACTTTCCATGCCACTAAATTCAAAGTTGAAGAAAATTCAAGGAGTTTTCAAGGACTTGCACGGAAATTTAAGGACTTTTCAAGGACCTCTCCTAAAATTCAAGGACTTTTCAAGACTGTGCGAACCCTTTAATAACTGGATAGGTCAGTGAACTACCTTTTTAAACCGTCAACGACTCTCTCATAACTTACATCTCTGTAAGAGACACTTGAGGTTTTTCGTACCTGCCGTTCGGAACGGCAGGTACGGCAGTGGACTGTCTTAAGTGGTTGGGGCCCGTTTCTCGAAAGTCCCGATAATTAACGGGCCCGAAAAGCTGTTGTCGTTTACATTCAAGATCCAGGTTTCAATAGTTTTCCAGACACGATAATAACATCAATTAACAAGACAAAATGGTTTGCTTTATATTTTGATTTGAATATTTGATTATGGACGCGAAAAGTTATTTGGACTTACGAGAAGCGAGCCCAAGGTCTTAAAGGCGTTCGTCTTACAATGAGTGGACTTCTCATTATCTTGCAACACCGACTCACAGCTATTTCAATTCTTATTATGAATCTCAAGACATCGTCGCACAGTGTGTCACGTCGGGCAAACGAGACAACCAAACATTAATTCTTACAAATAATACAAAGAGGAGGTTTATAGAAACCCTTAATTTTTTTAGCCAGAAATTAAGATTTTAGATTTTTCCTTACTGGAACTCATCTGCAGTGCACTTTTTAGTGAGATCAAGTGGTTGGCACTTCAGGAACTCGATATCATCTAATGCAATGTCGCCTTGGTAACCATAGTTTCTTCTAGCTTCAAAGATGACCTGCGAAGGAAGCATAAATCGCATCTGAAATTGTTTTGAATATATTTTTAACCAGACATTTCCGAAATTCTGTCTTCTTTCCAAGACCTAAAAGAATCTAAAAAACTTAGACAAGGGCAACTGAGAATACAACAGTCATTTCAATAAATGAATGAAAAGTGTTTATGAGACCAATGTATTGGTTTCAAATCAACGTAAGTTAAGTGCGGTAGTTCCAAGACCTAAAAATCCCAAACGAAAGCCTTTTAGAAACATTTGAAACAATGAAGCACCAGTATTTAAAAAAATGCAATTTTTGTTTACTTTGACCTTCTTTGCAACTATACCTTAAAGAGCTGCCTCGAACCAATTAAAAGCCGAGCATTAACCCATTTATTTCCTTGGCTTCCAGCTTTGGACCATAATACGGGCTGGGATCCATCCAGGAAAGATAGTTTTACCGAAAGTGTCCCAACAGACGAACCGTACATGTGGTACCAGAATGAGAGAATACATTCAGGTCCTGTCTGGCCTATCATAGGTGTTGTCAACGGAGCCTTGTCATCAGCTGATCCCCCTGAGCTCTCCGCATAGATGTACCATCCTGACAGAGTTCCTACAAAAACAAAAACAAAAACATCTTCCTGTAAAATCCATCCTGATTTAGCTCATTCATGTCAGATACCAATTTATTACCCTGCAAAAAAATGCCTTGTCTGAGAGTTGTTCAGTAATCATAATTACGGAAATAAAGGACGAAAAATGAATATTTCACTTTTGATTTTACTCTGTGTATGTTTCAAGTTCAGCCCACACTATATCAGGCATACAGGACAAAAATAACAAAGCACACTTTACTTGTGAAAATGGCTACTCGTGCAAAAGAAAGCTTGGAGAAGTACCTGCATTTTTTCTGTCATACATTTTTGGATCCTGCCTTCACTAACCACATCTTAAAGGAAAACACTTGATAACATCAACTGACACCAAAATTCTGAGCCGCGACAATGAGCAACCCTACTAAAACAATGCTTTCACTGCAACCGCTGTTCGCTGAATCTGGTTTAAATGTGATCTAATCGCAGGTGTTCTGCTAGCTTTAATACCTGATGTATGGTCAACTGTGGGTCCTGTACCAGACGTTCCCGTGCTTCCCTGTTGGGCTAACCATGTATACGACACGGCACGCTTTTTCCGTGTGGGATTAGTGACATACCAATTACAGAAGTCCCCACTGTCAAAGGTACAACGCGACTTGGCACATTTACCCTCATCGGCGCCATCAAGGCAGTTGGTTTGGAAGTTGCATACCTATGAAGCAACAGTTTTGTTGTGAAAACCGATCAGCGATTCCCTACTGGGTGAGCTAAATCTATGATAGGACTGCATGCTGTCCAGTTTGGAAATGGTTGAGGAAAATTCCGTGGACAGCCAAAAT